GAGTTGTTGGTGCTGGTGATTTTGTTTGGGGGCATTTCTTGTTCTCCATTTTATTTTTCACTCATTTATAACAGTGTTGAAGGAAGTATTCTTCTGCGAAGGGCAGTGCTGCCTCTGGCGCACTGCTCCCCCAAGGGCAGGAAGAAGTCTACACTCACAGACCCAGGGAAACTCGAGCACTGGGTCAGCTGGAGGGAGGCAGGAGCAGAGCCCAGAGCTTCCCTGCGGTTTTGGCAGGAGGTGTGGGCGAGAAACTGGCTGGCCGGGCCTGCAAGGATCTGCATCCTGTCACAGGGCCCAGAGGGGACGGGGCTCGGGTCACCGGGGCTCTGAGGGGACGGGACTCGGGTCACCGGGGCTCTGAGGGGGGACGGGGCTCGGGTCACCGGGGCTCTGAGAGGGGACGGGGCTCGGGTCACCGGGGCTCTGAGGGGACGGGGCTCGGGTCACCAGGGCTCTGAGGGGGGACGGGGCTCGGGTCACCGGGGCTCTGAGCCTGCGTCTCCAGGAGGCAGCTGGCCCTCCAGGACAGGGGGGACGGGGCTCGGGTCACCGGGGCTCTGAGCCTGCGTCTCCAGGAGGCAGCTGGCCCTCCAGGACAGCGAGGCACCTCTCCACCCTGACCAACTTTCACGTGACAGGACTTGGGTGTAGCTCGTGCGTGTAATGGCCGTGTCTCCGTGGGAGGGAGGCCGGCTCCAGGAGGCACCACTGACACCCTCTGTCATGGTGAGTGACTCAGGCCTCCTCTCGTGAACTCCAGGCCTGCCGAGACACCAGGCCAGAGGGCCGCCGCCTCCTGTCAGTAGACTCACAGGAGCCGCGTCCTGCAGTGGTGAGCAGCGGCAGGAGGACATCCGGAGCCCATCCTCTCTCTGGGCCGTCCTGGAATTGTTTCCCATCGCCCACGGCCTTGTCTGTAAATCCAGCCCCAGTGCAGTTGTGTGGGAGCAGAACCTGGAAAAAAGCCCTTAGGTGAGTTTTCATGGCTCTAAGTCAATGTGTCACTTGTTGGACTTGATGCCTTCATGGCATTCGACCCAATGTTTCTGAAATGTTACCTTCATTCATTTTACATCCTTGTGTATTTGATTCATATCACGTTATGCTTTGTGTTCATGGAGAGGGCGGCAGCTTTGAGGGTATAAGCTCGTTCCTAAAGTATAGCTGGGTTGAAAAGTAAACCAAAGTGGGTGGGGATGTATATGTATTGTATATATGTAATGTAAATATAATTAAATGCATTAAGCATCTGTAAATGCCAAAGGTTGAGGTAGAAAGATCTTTTGAGCCTGGAGTTTGAGGCCAGCCTGGCTCACATGGTTAAGACCTGATCTGAAAAAAAAGTTTATGGCTGTGGGTGTGACTGGCGGTAGAGTAGTGCTTCCTAGGCCTAGATTCCAGAGAGAGGGAGAGAGGGAGAGAGGGAGAGAGGGAGAGACAGAGAGAGAGAATGTTACCTAATCTTATCACGATGTTTGGTGAAGCTGGTTGTTATGGCACTGCCCAAGGCCTTTGGCCCACCAAGACCTAAGGGCTGTGTTTGAGGTAATTACAGCCACTAGCTAGGTAAATTCTCAGATCCAAGCTGGGTACTGTGTTTTGTGGCTCACAAGATTTTGGAAAAAGAAATCCACACACATGAGTGTTCATACATACAGGAATGATTGTAGGAAGATAAAGTCTTCTATCACAATTTTCCCCTGTGAGGTTTAATTTTACCACAGTTAAAGATGAAAGTATTCATGACAGGTGTGAAGCAATGGTTAAGGCAGACTTTACTCAGGAGGCCTTTGTGGTAGGGTTAAGGACCACTGTAATAGGGCCTCACAGTAGGCCAGGGAGAGTGGGTTCAACTCAAATACAAGGGTGAGTGGAGCTAGGCCCAGTGGTGGCATACGCCTGTAATCCCAGCACTCAGGAGGCTGAGGCAGAAGGATTGCAGGTTTGATCCCAGCCTGGATGACACAGTGAGACTCCCTCTCTCTTCTCTCTCTCTCTCTCTCCCTCTCTCTCTCTCTCACACACACACACACACACACATGGGTAAGTAGAGATTTGTAGCGAAGGAGGAGGCTGACCTAAGATGGAAAATCACTAAGAGAACAACATGGGGCAAGGGGATGAAAGCTTGTTAAACAGACTCAGCAGGATTCCTCTGGAGGAGGGCGGGGCGAGGGGAATTCAACCAGACACCAAGGATGGCCTGGTCTGGCCCTTCAGGAAGAGGAGCCAGCTGGAGTGAGGTGGGGGGTCCTTGTCACAGCAGGCCGAGAAGCTGACCCGCTGCATCGAGCAGACACTTTGTTGTCAGCAGGTCACAAACTCGGGTTCTCGGGGTTCCATATTGCAGTGTTGTGGGGCAGCACAGGGGCCTACCTCTCCTGCCCCTCTGTGGTGAATGACTGTGGATCTAAAATCAGGATCAACTTGGACATACACTTACACATGCTGTAATCCTAGCCACTGGGAAGGCTGAGGCAGGAGGATGGCAAACTCAAGCCTAGGCTACTCTGGACAATTTAGACAGCCCTATCTCAAAGCTAAAACAAAAATTAAAATCCTAATACTATTAAAGTGACACAAAAATAAAATCAGGGAGATTCTCTTACCCTGAGATATATCCCACTGAGAACTCATTTTGCTGAGCTCAGGAGAAATAAGCAGAAGAAATCTTACCAGTCACCTGCAGATGTCTTTTTAAGAATCTGCCTTCTTAGTGAAAAGAGTAATAAGACTCATTAAAATATTTCAAGGGGCTTCAAATGCCCGATGGTCAGTCTCAGACCCAGCTGTCTCCTGGCAGTCGGCCCAGGTAGCTGCCCCAGACCTAGCTTCCCTGAACCTGGTGCCCCTTCTGTGGCCCAGGCGTTCATGTGGTGCCCAGCACACCGCGCCGGGGGAGGGAGGTCGGGCAGCGGGCGTCAACACCCGGCCGCGCCGTGATGAGAACAGGTGCAGGCCGCCTGGATTTCATCAAACCAGGTGGTGCCTGCGCTGCTGACCTCTGGCCTGACCCGCCCGAAGCCCTGGACACACCTGTGTTTATAGACGGCGAGGACTCAGGGTGCAGCAGGCCTCAACTAAGCACCAGAAGAACTAAAGCTGAGCGTGTGTGCAAACCTTTCCACACCTACTGGAGACGCAGTTACCTTCAGTGCGTTTATAAGGCAAACCCTTGTCTAATGCCCCCAACAGTCCAAGAGCAAGATAAGACACTCGCTGCCACACTGAGGGACCGTCTGTAGGATCTGTATGCGTCCCAGGTCGGTCTCTAGTTCAACTCGGACACTGGCGAGCTTCTCCGTGTCAGCCCCGCGGGTGGGGGCAGCGGGATGGAGGTCTGCTCCGGCCAAACGCTTTCGTCTGTCTTACTCATTGGTTGAGTATTTACCGATCACAGTTAAGCGGCAGGTGGCATTTTAGGTGTGGGGACAGAAGAGGACGAAAAATCAGGCGCCTACTTTCCCGCAGCTTGTATCTCAGCCAGAAAAGACAGGACAAGGCGGAAACAGAGAGTTAACCAACCACACAAACTTTATTCTAAAATAAATCACGAAGTCACACGTAAAACAGAAATACGTCCGACGCTACGTGCGATGGCGAATAAGGGCGGGTTCCGGGGAGCGCCCCGCGAGCTGAGGGCGCCCCCTCCCCGGATAAGCGCCC